AAAAATTCTCCCTACCCGCTTGAAATTCGATTTCGAGCACCCTTGTGGCTAAATCGGAGCAAAAGGGACGACAGGTGAACCAGAAACTGTAGGCAAAGCCCAGCGGAGCCACCACGGCCAAAACTCATTCGATGAGCCCCTTTCTGATTTCTGTTTCACGTGATTTTTCAATCATTTTGTTCACCGTCATTTTCTATGCAGGTTAGCCAAAGAAAAAACTTCAGCCGTAAAAGAGAAATCCGAATAAGAGCTTTTCTTTCCTGCTTTACTTAACCCAAGCAATGCCAAAAGACTCCCATGCCTTTCTTGGTTGGACCAACCCAACAACGATTGTAGACAAGTCTTTCTTCATTTTTTGTAGCGCCCGGACCGAGAAAGAAAAAAAAAAAAGCCACGTCGGCAGCCACGTCAGCAGGCCCGGTCAGCAATCCCGGCCAACCGGGGCCTGCCACGTGGCAAGACCACGTCACTCCGGAACGGGCCACGTTGGCGATCCGCGTGGGCGCAATCGGACGGCACAGATCAATCGCGCGATCGGACGGCCCAGATGCAATCGCACGGACGGCCCAGATTCAATCAAAAAACGAACGGCCCAGATTAAAACAAAATGAACGGCTGAGATCAAAAGGCAAGGGGTTATAAATAGAACCCCCACACCAGACCACAAACCCTAGCCGCCTGCCGCTCGCCGGAGAAGACAAACCAGAAGCCGGCTGCCGCCACCCGCCGCCGCGCCGGGGAAATTTTCGACCGCCGATCGAGGTAAATTTCATACCCCCGACTCGTTTTTCCACGCTGATTCCTCTTGTGGCAAAATCGGAGCCAAAATCCCGGCCAAACGGCCGGAATACGCGGCCGAAGACCAGCGGCGCCGCCGCGCCCCTTCTCGGTTTTTGCCTCCGACGAGGCCCTTCCCGGCCTCCATTTGATGCAATTTTTATATCACCGTGATCACCATTCTTTTCTCTACAGGTTGACCGAAGCCGAATCACCAAAACACGAACCTCGCCGGAGAGCCGCCGCACCCGAGAGCGCCGCCGCCGGTAAGCTCTGTTTTTCCGTGATTTTTTGGCCCCCCGAGGGCCCTAGGGTTGTTTTCTCACAGGGACCGATGCGAGTGTGACCGAATTTGGCCGGAAACGGCCGAAAACAGCCAATCCGAGGCGACTCGCCGCCGCCAGCGGCGGAGCCGCCGTGCCGGAGTTGCGATTTGGGCCGAAAGGGGCCCTGGGCCTAATTTGGGATTTTTTTGGAACACGTGCAGGTACCAGTAGTGCGTTTCAGTTCCCCGAGGAAAATTCAGAGAAAATTAGGGACAGCCTGCAAGCGCACTGTGAAGCCGTGTTCGGACCCCGAAACGAGTAAGGACCCCTCACCCTATTTCCTATTACGGTATTAAAGTTCAAAATGATAAAACGGTATTTCTTGAATTAACGAATGTGTGAAATTGTTTAAGGTGGCTAATGGAGCCCGAGTCTAGTGTGATTGATGATTTACTGTTATTTGGCATGTTTTACAGCTTTAAATGCAGGATGAGGTTTGATGTGTTTATTTTATAGTTTCGTGTGCATATATTACGTTTTTATTGGTTATGGGTTGAATGACTGAAAAACTGATACCGTATGTTGTCTGTTTGGCATGAATTACGATTTGCTTGTTTAAAATGTGAATTGATAATGCTTACTGAGGAAGAGGAAAATGAAAGATTGTGTAGACTGATAATTGTATGATGGGGTCAGCCTGACTAGATATCCTGGGAGATGGTGGACGGACCGGGTCCGTAGGGAACCCTACCGGGATTGTGGTCTCACATGCTGGACGGGGTATGGAGATCTTATGTGTTTTGGCGCCCATACCGGACGGGGTATGGGGACGGCCCGTTTCACCCTCATACCGGACGGGGTATTGAGGTTTATGGTTTTGGCGCCCATACCGGACGGGGTATGGGGACGGCCCGTTTAACCCTCATACCGGACGGGGTATTGAGGTTTATGGTTTTGGCGCCCATACCGGACGGAGTATGGGGACGACCCTGGAAACTGATTATGAATGTTAAAGGTTAACGGGTAGCGGGATCCCTATGGACCCCCATGGATACTAGTAGGCTAGTAAATGAGAAAAAGATATGTTGTATAATGATTGAATTACAAAAGGCGTGATAAGTGCTATGTTTTACAGCTTATATTATTCCATGATTGTGATAATGTTATTGTTTTTCTTATATTATTTCATGAATTCCACCGAGGTAAGTGGATGGTAAAGGTTTTATCATAAATAAAAGGATTTGTTGTAAATCATACTCCATTGGTCTTTTGTGTTTTTCTACCCACCTTTACCTCTGTGACGGTGAGATATCGTGATGTTCTTACTGGGCTAGTGTAGCTCACTCCTTATTTAACCATTTCAGATCAGGAAGACATGGTTCCCGAGCCCGTTCAGCAGGAGGACGACGAAGGGGATGCCTAGAGACTCTGTAGTCATACTCATAGTTTTATCTTCGAGTTTCTCTTTTAGTTAGTTTAATCTTTTATATTTTAAGTACGTTTTTGGTTTTCGTGTAAGGGATGTTAACTGAAATTTTGATCTCGCTTCCGCATTTTATGTGTTTAAATACTCACTCCATTTTAACATTTCCGGGGCCGTTACAGTTGGTATCAGAGCCGCGTTTCCTCGGACCCATCCCTTACACAATAATGCCTTAGATAAATACTCACCGATATATCGTTACTCAATCATTCCTTGCAAAAACAGGTACACGAGAATGAGGGGAGGAAGGCCCCCACTAAACCGAGCGGCTCAGGATAATTCACTTCGGGAGGATCTTGACAGACTGTATGAGATGGTGGAGGCTCTCGCAGCTGCCCAGCGAAGGCAAGAGGAGAGAAGGGAGTTACCGGGACCTCCTCCGCTAGCGCAGGTTGAGCGCCCGCTACAGCAGGCTGATCCCGAGCCACCCCGGCAGGAGCCTGTTCCTCCACGATACCACCCGGCACCACAGCCGCGGTACGATCTGGTACCACAGCCACAGTACCAACAGGTGCCGCCACAGCACATTCCGGTGCCCCCACCACATCAGCAGGCGCCACCACAGGGTCCCCCAGTTCACCCTCAGCCGGTCCCAGTCCCTCTACCTCGGGACCCCACTCCCTCCTTGATCGACCCCGACTTCATAGAGAGGTACAGGAGACTGAACCCTTCTACCTTTTCAGGGGGATCCTCGTTCGAAGAGGCCCAATACTGGCTGGCAGAGACTGAGAGAGCTTTTGAGACCCTGGGAGTAATTCCTGAGCAGAGGGCTGCCATTGCCTCCTACATGCTGGTAGGGGAAGCGGTACGCTGGTGGGAGCT